TGAGAAGACATGAAATCTTTTTAAGCAAAAAAGCAATGTGACATTAGCTTTTAACAAACTTTTTATTTGAGAGTAATTCTGAATTTACAGAAAAGTTGCAAATATAGAATTCCCATACACCCTTCACACAGTTTCCTCTAAAATTGACCTTATATTACCAGGTGCAATTATCAAAACAAAGAAACCAACATTGGTGCACTGCTATTAAGTGGGCTCCAAACTACTCAGATTTTACCAGTTTTTTCCACTAATATTTTTTTGTCTATTCTAGGATCCAATCTAAGATAACATATTGCATTTAGAATCTTACATTTTAATACAACCTTTTACTTACATTTAAAAGTATCACACTGGCTACTGTATGAGAATAGAATTGTAGAGAGCCAAGGATTAAAGAATGCAGGGAGAACTGATAGAACATTATTACTGCAACCCAAACAAGAAATGATAGTGGCTAATAACAGACATCAAGCAAGAGATGATCAGAATACTAACAGTAGAAATAGTAGGAAACAGTCAAATTCTAGATATATTTTATAGAAAGAATCAATAGGATTTGCTGATGGATTGGATGGAATATAAGAGAATGACTGGAGAATGACTCCAAATATTTAACTTTTAGCAACAGGTTGTACAGAGTTGCCATCAGCTGAAATGAGAAAGAATGGGGCAGGGTTAAAGATAAAGAGTTCAGTTTCTGACATTTAAGTGTGAATATCTTTAAGTAAACAAGTGGAGATGTAGAGGTAGAAAGCTGGATACGTGAGTCTGGAGTTCAGAAAGAGAGGGGACAAGGAATATGAATTTGGTAGTCTTCAGTATGCAGATGGTATCCAAAGTCATTAAGACTTGAGGTCATTAGAGGGAGTGTAGACAGAGGAAAAGAGAACCAAAGACTACAGCCCGGAGCACTTCAATAATAAAAGATCAGGACTAACAGAAGGAAGACTGAGAAGGAACAACCAATAAGTAAAAGAAAAACCAAGAGTGTGGAGTCCAGAAAATCAAATGAAGAAAACATATCATCAAAAACAGAATGATCAATTGTGTCAAAAGTTGCTTACAGTTCAAATGATAATGAATGAAAATGATCAACACCTAGAGATCACTGGTAACACTAACAAAAGCATTTTGCAATGGTGCGTGGGAGCAATAGCCATTTTGAAATGATCTCAAGTGAGGGCAGAGTTTTGCCACCTCAAAATATGCTTATTGGGATATTGATTATTTTATACTGGTTAAATAATGAGGAAAAATCTTTAACCACCCCCCCCCCCCCGCCCCAAACAGCTTAAAAGAATTGAAACAAAGGTCCTGCTCCAGGAAGAGAGCTATCGTCATAGACAATTACAGTTTAATAAGAACTAGTATGTCAGTGGTTCTCAACCTTCTGGCCCTTTAAATACAGTTCCTCATGCTGTGACCCAACCATAAAATTATTTTCGTTGCTACTTCAGAACTGTAATGTTGCTACTGTTATGAATCGTAATGTAAATATCTGATATGCAGGATGGTCTTAGGCGACCCCTGTGAAAGAGTCGTTCGACCGCCAAAGGGGTCGCGACCCACAGGTTGAGAACTGCTGTAGTATGTAATAAGGAGGAACCTACCAAGGCTCATTTGACCAAAGTCCTCTCTGAACTGTTAAAGATGGCGCAGGAAACATTTATTTATGAAACAGTTGCTTTTCTATTTCTATGTTTGCCTCCCTCCCGTATGTAGTCCCAAACCACCATCCTTTACCCTTCGCCTGGGCTCAAAATGGCATGTAAGCCCTAAGTACCCAATTTGTCCTCTTGTCACATATTCTTATGAAACTCCCATATGTACATATGTAATAAACCTGCTTATTTTCTCCTATTAATGTATCTTCTATTTACTTATTAGTCCAGCCAGAACTTTATAAGTGTAGGAGGGAACATTATTTTTTCTTCTCCCATACAGGAAAGAATAGAAAAAAATTGGGATTTAGAGTATAGAGAACTTAAAGGATTTTTCAGAAGAGCAAATCAATAGGGTTTGAAGTGGAGAAAGGTTAAGAGAAGCATTTCTTAAGGTAAAAAAAAAAAAAATAACATGCAGGTCAAACAAAACTTTTATGGGTCTTAATCTACGAGCCATGGGAAAAGAGAATGAAAAAAAAAATTGGGGGAAAGGACAGACAAACACTAGAACATGAACCTCAACTTCAAACTATGGCGGCTACTTGAGAATCAGAGAAAACAAGCAGTTAAGTAAAACCATTTCATATATGTGATTATCAGTGAGTGAAAGAAAATGTGAAGTCATATAAAAGGAAACCTTCAATACTCAATACTAGATACAAAGTAAAAAGAGAAAAGGGGAGAAAGTGGTCTGGTGGCATAAAAGCAATAACAATTTATTTCAAAAACCTTTTATTGAGTGCCTAACATGCAAGTCAATCAATTCTACATCATTATCCCTCCCTTTAAGGAATTTTTAATTTGGTGAAAGAGAAAGCCAGGCACACATTAGGCAATGCTTACTGTGTGCTTATTAATGCCAGATTCTTGATGAGATGATTTACTTGTATGAACTCAGTTAAGTCTCATAACATTGGAGACTATGAACTCTCTCCACAGAAAAATATAAATATGCACTATTTTTACATAAAATTCTAGGAAACCCATGAAACCAAACTTGAAAATACTCCTCTAGATGCAGGAGTGGCAACAGTTTTTGAACAAAGGAATGACACAGATTTTATTTTTAGTAAATAAAGGATCTACTATGATTTAGTAAGAAATGAGAATTCATAGCAGAGCTGCCAGGAAAGAGACTTTTGAAATAGTTAGCAATGTAAGATAGTACTTAAAATAGTTCATTGGCAGTAAAAACCAAAAGTAGGGGGTTTATGTGCTTAATGACCATGTAGCTCAACTACTAATTTCTCACCTCTCATCACAGGTCAGATTAATTTTGTTAGCTGTTACATTTTTTAAAAAATTATACACACATGTTTAGCTTCATCTATTGCCATTTGTGTTACTCAATGTAAAACTTTAACTGGCAAATGTTGTTCTTTATTCTTTTGAAGCTGAAGTATGTAAGTGCCCATGGCCTAAAATTAATTGTAATTCATAAATACAGTAACTCAATTGTGATCGTGAACAACTGCAGCTTCCTAGTGCTCTTCACAGGTAGCTTGAAAGCACAGCTTCACCCAGAAGTATTTCCCTTAAATCAGTGGTTCTCAACCTTCCTAATGCTGCAACCTTTTAATACAGTTCCTCATGTTGTGGTGATCCCCAATTTCATTGTTACAAATTGAACATAATTAAAGCATAGTGATTAATCACAAAAATATGTAATTATATATGTATTTTCCGATGGTCTTAGGCGACCCCTGTGAAAGGGTCCTTTGACCCCCAAAGGGGTCGCAACCCACAGGTTGAGAACCGCTGCCTTAAATGTTCATATAGATTGAGACGATCTTCACATGAGAGCAGAAACAGTTATAAAATCTCGACACATTTACTACTTCAGAAGCCAAGCTTGATGAGGTGTACAACATAACTTCTATAACTAAGCCAAGTTTGTTTAACTTGAATGGCAAGACTTACAAGGTATAAATGGCTTGGTTTCTTATAGGAAGAGGTTACTATACACTTTTTATACATTTCTTACTCCCCTCTTTCCCATGATCATTAAATTTCTCCAAGAAACAGGTCATCTTTACTCCTCTGCTGCACTCTCATTTTCCCAGTAATAAAGCTCAATAAAAACTTGATAAAATTGTGTATTTGACCACTCTTGACAATTCAGTAGATTCAAAAGTAAATCATATTTTTTTAAAAACTGAATGTGGTAGCCAACAATGTAATCACATAACAGAAATCTAATGTTTTAATCACCATGCTGCCCTAAATAAAGAACGATCTCATAGTTAGGCCAAATACAGCTAAGGATCTTATAGTTTGGCCAAAAACTAATAAATCAAGTCCTTATTAGTTTCTTTCCCATTTTTCCTCTATCCACTTTCTGAGTTAATAAAGAATTTAAAAACTAACATTCTGAAAAGAACTCTCTGTTGTTTGAGAAAAAAAAACACAAAACAAAACTATACAGCTGGAGCCAAAGGGTTGTCATAATTTTCTGATTCATTTAAGGGGGTAGAGGAATAAAGTCAATAATTCCAAAAACTATGAAAACCGAATACATCAACGCGCCTGTTTATCTAGGGTAGGCGAATAAAAAAAATGGGGGGAAATACAGCCTCAGCCACTGGGATTATTAAAATCAGAGGAAGCTAAATTATACTACTAATTAAAAGGAAAAGTTAGCATATGATTTGTCTTGCCGTTGGATCACTTCTCTCGAGTAATCGGCTCTGAACTCAGGAAAGGGCACTTGCTCCCCATTCATTACCACAGAAAGTTGCCCGTGATCCCTAAGGGCCAAACGTTTCAACCCCAGATGCAACCTACTGACAGTTTACGAAAAGCTGGGGATTGGGAGAGAAGGGGCCAGTGTCAGAGACATGATCCAACAGCCTACTCCACACAACCCTGCAGAGTCAAGGGTCCTCCTCATCCAAAACCATTACAGAGCATTTCAAAGACGCTTTGTAATCCAAAGAACCCCCAGGTGCAAAGGGAGCAACTGAGCAAACGGAGGGCCCAGCAGCGTACACATTAAAGGGGATCCTAGTCGGGAAACATCCACGCACTGCGGAGTTCAAGGCGGAAAAGAACAGGGAACTAAAAACAATTAAAATTTAAAAAATTAAAAGGGGCGGGGGTGAACAAGCAAAAAAAAAAGGACAAGACTACCATTACTGTTACTTAAAGAGACAACCCCCGGCTTCCGAAACCTACCTCTCAGTGACTCGACTTCCGGTCTCCTCCAAAAGGCCCGCTCCCACAGGCTGACGTCCCGCAGCCAATGAGAGTGTCATCTACTTCCGCAGGGGCGCGTGACGTCACTAACTCCCGCCTTCTTCCGGTGGAGGGAAGCCTATCCTACTGTCTCCGTCGCGCGGCCCAGGAGGCGGTACCCTGAGAGGCCCAACCGGAAGGCCGGAAGGAGCGAGACCGGCAGGCAGCCGGCCCACCTTTTCCGCTCGGGGCCCGGAAGGGTGATGTGGCTGGGGCTTCGCCGGCCTCACTATGGTAAGAACTGGGGCTGTGGGGTCGTGGTTGAGCTTTCTGAAGGGGCTGTGGCCCCGAACCGGGGCTCGAGGGTTGGGAGGCGGCCCCGGGAGCGCGGGCCAGGGATCCTTGTCACTAACTTAATTCTCCCGGGATTCGGGGGCTGCACAGGCCCGGGAGCCATGTGGCCCCTGCACGCCCAACCCGGGAGAACCGGGGCCGACCCCCCAAGTATGACCCCGGGGTCTGGAGCCCGCCCCGTTCTCAGAGGCCACTTTCTTGATCTCTTTCGGAGAAATGTGCCGGTTTGGCTCTTGGTGGTCCTTGACCCTTGGAGACATGGCTTCTGGAGTTTGATCTGTTACTTTGCTCTCCTCTCCCTATGCTCCTGTTCCAGATCTTTTATTTTTAATTGTTGTCCAACTTTACACCTGACTTTTTATCTGTAGAATTAATGGCTTTTAGGTCCCCCCTACTTGATTGTCTAACCAGTGGTTCTCAACCTTCCTAATGCCGCAACCCTTTAATACAGTTCCTCATGTTGTGGGGACCCCCCCAACCATAAAATTATTTTCGTGGCTACTTCAGAACTGTAATTTTGCTACTGTTATGAATCGTAATGTAAATATCTGATATGCAGGATGTATTTTCATTGTTCGCGACCCACAGGTTGAGAACCGCTGCAAGGATGCTACTTGACACACTGTAGGTTTTCATGATTGGAGGTTTCTGCAAAGATGGGTTTTCTTCTGGTCTCAGGCCTTCCTCTCCTTCCATCACGTTATTAAGGTTGTATGTGTTATTTTGTGTTACTGCAGATTCATCTGCTAGTGGGGGCCTCTTAGAAAAGTTTGAAATTAAGTCACAAAAGTTTGCAAAGGAAATGCTTACATCTTCAGCCTGAAAAAAGAGAGGTAAAGCCAGCGTGGACAGAGGACAGATGCAGTGTCAGTAGTAATAGATCAGGCACCCAAGCTCTGTCTGAGGCATTTTACCTGTGTTATGGTAAAATGCAAAAGCCTCTGCTTCATGCCCTCATGGTGACTTTATGAAGTCCATGTGCCAAATGTTGCAGTTATGAGCATATTTGGGTGGAAAGGATGCCTGCCTTTATAATAGAATCAAAAGCAACCACAATGCCCAAAGTGCTATTCTGCAGTAGTTGCTAAGCTTGGATTCCCAGAAGTTCCCACAGCAGAAAACGTTTAGACATTTAATGGAAAACGTATTACTTGTTATAGCGTTATGCTAGCTACTTTAATTATAGCTAGGACATAAGTCGTAGTCTCTTCCCTGGAGAAATTTACCACTCACTTATAGAGGAGATAGCAGTTTGTCCCAAGTTATTCCTTCCTTGGACAAGGATACTGCCCAGCTTCTTTCTCCACCTACCAATGTAAGGTGGATACACTTCCTCTAAAAGAGTGTGATTAGTGAGCTGTCATTTAACTTAGATATGGTTCCTTCAATTTAAAAAGAGTAGAAAGGCTGTTACTCTTAATTCTTGTATCTCTTCCAAGAAGTTTATAAGCATTGTCTTATTTCAAGCTTAAAAGCATTGTCTTCTTTCAAGCCCACGATGAATTCTGAGTAGATGAAGGAAGTCAGGGACAGGGAGATCGATGTGCTTGGGGTTGCACAACCTCGTAGAACTCAAATTTATTTTAATGTCCAGATGCCAGAAATCTTCATTTGTTAATAGAAACAACCTAATAGGGGATGAAATGTCTCAGTGATTTGTCACTCATATGTAATATTCCAATCAGACATGGGTGGATAATAGAAACATCTGCCAGGTGGTTAATTTTTCATTTCTGCTTTGTTCCTATGAGCTTCAGATGTCAGCACTGAGTTTGCACCTAAACTTGGTGTATTTATGAAGTTACCCAGTGATAATGACTTAAATCCGAGTTACCTTATTTTAATGAATTCTTTTTTAAATGCTTTTCAAGGCCATAAAATGTTTATCAACAGTAATAATTTACAACTATCAGAGCATAAACAGTATGATAAGTAGACCACTTAAGAATTAATATTTTTTAGAAATTTAGAATACTTTGTTCTCCCTAAATTTTTATATCTTTCAAGATTCACTTCAAGTTTCATCTGTTCCTAAAAAGCCTTCCCTGTCCTATTTTTGTCTGCTCCTTTTAGGTATCCATTTGGGCATCCAGAGTCCTCATATATATTTCCAGTATCCCACTAGCATAGCAGTTATTGCAAGAAAAACAGCAAAAAAGGTGTTGCCTATATTTCTCCCCTCTTTTGGTAGAGTTCTCGAAGTGGAGACTAGATCTTTCAATCTTGACATCACAGTGTCAATTAAAGTTAGTACACCAAATGAATGAGAGTTTGGAATACAAAGTCATGTGAGGCATGCTCAGTGTATTCAAGGACTTCACAATCCAGTGGAAAAGTCTATTAAATAAGTAAATTCCATGTGGTATCTGCTAATATTTAGAAAGACAACCTGTATAGTGGAAAGACAGCCAGACGGTCAAAATCATTACCAATTCCCATCCTTTTCTTGGTTAAACTAAGGAAGTTGATCTTCATTTCATTTATTTGTTGATTGTATTAGGTGACTTACAGATATTCTCATTTAATGCTCACAAACTGCAGAGTGGGAGCTTTTGCCCACATTTTATATTTAAACTGAGTATAAGAGAAGGGGTGCGAAATGTTCTCCCTCATCTTATAGCAGAGAGAATATGAGCACAAAAGTTCTAATGAAACACAAAAATGAGTAATTCTGGCTGGGAACTGCTGCAGAGAGATAATGCTCTGACCTGTATGTTCAAGAGTGACTAGAGATTACCTAAGGCAACGGTTCCTAACCTGTGGGTCAAGACCCCTTTGGGGATTGAACGACCCTTCACAGGGGTCGCCGAAGACCATCGGAAAACACATATATAATTACATTATTGTTTTTGTGATTAATCACTATGATTTAATTATGTTCAATTTGTAACAATGAAATTGGGGGTCACCACAACATGAGGAACTGTATTAAAGGGTCGCGGCATTAGGAAGGTTGAGAACCACTGACTAAGGAATCATTAGCTGGAGCTGGACAGTGTTCTCTATCCTTTAGATAACAGATAAAGGAAGTGGCAGTTATGGAGCCAAAGGGCATCAAGTTGGATAGTTGCTTGGAAACTGGCAGCAATAGCAGTTCAGTACTGAAATGATGAAAAATGAGACTAGAAAGATTGGGGCCAGATCTTGAAGGGGTTTTTGCCATACTAAGGACTTTATATTTTGATGATGTTTAATTGTTTACCTGGTAAAAGACTTGGAGTAAGGAAGAGAATGGTGTGCATTTTAGAAAACCAACTGGTAATAATACAGAGGGTATATTAAAATAGAAGATTAAAATTTGGGAGACCAAGTTAGAAATAAAAGCAGTGATCCAGGTAGTATATGATTGAATGCCTCAACTCTTGACAATAGTAGTTAGGTTAAAGGAAAGGATAAATAAGAAAATAATTTTGAAGGTGTTGCCAGTGAAGAACAGAGTTGGGGTGCTCCTAATCTGGACTGTAGTTTTATGCATAGCAATGAAAGTTATTAATTTAAATGGAAAGTGTAAGTAGAGAAAGTCTCTCCATACTTTTGAAACAGGTCCAGAGAGATCAAATGGCTATTTAGTCCAGCTTCCTCACTTTACAAAGGGAATTAAACTGATGCTTAGAGATGATGATTTACCCAAGGATAAATTTATACACTTGGATTATTTCATTAAATAATCCTAATGTTCACTAGCCATAGGTACTCAGAGAAGCTGGTGTGTTCTTAGCACTGAAGCATTAAGCAATCCTGGTTTCTGAGTTTCAAATTAAACTAAGATAGCTTGACCTTAACGTTCTAATAATGCTAAAAGAAAATGTTAAATATTTCTTTGTATTAGTGAAAATCTTTTCAGGCACCTGTAGTCAATTATTTGGGGTAAATGGAGTATTTGTGTATGTGTTTGCATATTCACATACAGGCTTACATTTTCCCTGTATTTCCATGTTTTCCATTTTCAGAAATAATAGTGGTACATATGAATTTACAAGTACAAACTAGTTGGAAAATGCTGACCTGACCTAGATTTGTAAATGATAAAGTGCTGACCCACTTTTCCAGTGCTGTTTAATTTTGTAACACAATTAGGTCAGGAATGTCAGCTCTGGGTTTCTTTCGACCCCCAGAGAGGGATAAATGACTTTAGTTTTGTGTAAAAGCAGTAGTTATTAAAGTAAGTAAAATTGCTACTATTTGGAGTTTTTAAAATTTAAATCTTTTGCTATTCAGTTATTGATTAAAGTGAATTTTAGTTAAACTGGCAGAATTAAATATGTTAATAAAAATGTGTTTCCCACTTTGGAAACAGTCAACATTTAAAGCTCCCAGACAGTGTTAAGCATAAAGAAGGCCCTTAATTAACAAATTGATTAAACAATTTATTTTAATAATCTTTAAAAATAAAGACATAAGCTACTTGTAGCCTAAGTAATCCAGGACTAATGAAAATACTATAGGCTCAGTTAAAGTCTTATGGTTAGCAACCAGTCATTGAGCACTCTCTGGGCAAATCACCCTTTAGCATATTAGTATGCATATTTCTGCTGCTTTTTCTCATTGTTTCTTTATTTGAACCTTTAAACTGCTGGGATCTTTTCCTTTTTTTCCCTCTGTTCCTAATGTTTTGGATGGTTTCTTTTACTTAGAAGTATTTTTATTTATACATCTAAAAACAAAACTTTATATTGAATTCTTGTCCTTATATTCAAACTCAGTGACTAGTTTTAACATCTTGCTGATCTTTCAGTAGACAACTTGTGTGCAGACCCGCGTTGTCTCGTGACCAGTCAGCATTAACATTCAGGAATGATTCCAAAAATAAGAAATTATATCTGCATAGATAAAATGACAAAAACAGTATCTGAAATAGGTATTGCTAACTTTTCAAACACTTCAGTATAGCAAATTTTAAAAAGATGTATCAACATTGCAAATAATTTCGTGTTTGGACATTAAGCTTTGCATTGACCAATTTCTTTGTCTATTCCTTGATAAATGATTTCATGCACTGTAGTGGTGGCCAAATGAAAATCTAAGTTATTTTCATTATTTCAAATGGACTGAGAAATCATGATTTACTTTAAAGAGATTGTACAAAGTAAATGACTCATTAAGTTGATTTCCTTCTGGTTTAGATAAATTAATTCAGTGCAATAACACTAATTATGTGAAGTATTTTAGAAGCTCTGATTAGCTATTCATAGTGTGATAGGTCTGGAGTATGGAGGGATAATAAAAGGGGCCTTTGGAGGAAAATAGTTGGAAATTTCCCATTACCATTTTTTTAAGCACAACTGTGAGAGTAATGGTCAAAAGTCAAGGGTTACCATTTTGACTGTGTTCGAGGTTGGTTGTGCTCCAGGTGCCCAAGCAACCCTGAGTCTAGGAAATGTCATTGAGATACATCATAAAAAGGAAGTGTTTGTAGGTGTGGTCAACAGAATAACACACACACACACAAAAGAAAACCCTGCAAATATGTTCTTATTTGGCAAAAGGAACTTTGCATATTTGATTAAGAATTTTGGAATAGGATGAGTATCTTGAATTATGGGGAGAGGGAAGGGATGACTTAATCACAAGGATACTTGTAAGAGGGAGGCAGAAGGGACATAAGTCACACAAAAAGTGACTGCAGAAGTCAGGGGGTCACTAGCCAAGGAATACATGCAGCCTCTAGAAGCTAAAAAAGGCGAGAAAATGGATTTTTCCCTAGAGCCTCCAGAAGGAATAGTTTATAACTCCTTAGTTCCCATGTGCATTATTTAGTGTTAATTCATGTAGCTAGTATTTATTAAGCTGGAAAGCTTGCATTGTATAACCCCCTGCCATTGTCACAGGGTGTCCTCACGGAAAAATAGGTAAACCTGAGATTGGAGAATTCTTTGAGGTTCTAGAATTTTCTGCCAGCCAGCTTGCCCACTTAGTCATCGAGACCTCTTAGGTGAATCAGAAGAATACACATTGTCCCATATGCAATCACCGACTGCCCAATAGAACTTTCTCTGAATTCCAGTTTGTGATACAAAAAGATTTAAATATTGAAAGGAAATTACCTAAGGCCTTTATTTTACTCTACAGTCTGTGCCCTTTACATAAACATGATCTTTGCTTCTTCCTTCTGGATTTTCCAAGTATTAATGACAAGTAAATATAAATGCAAAGGAGTATGTGGAGGTTTCTCTTAAGTAAACAATATGCAGCAGTCTGATCTACACTTTTTTGTAATAACGTGCAATGTTAATTTGAAATCTAAGTATGCTCTTGCATTTGTTAAAATGATATTATTTGTGATTGTTTACAAGTTCTTGTTCATTCAGCATTTTTCAGTGACTACTGTGCCCCTTTTTTTTTAATAGTCACCGGTGTTAATAAGAACCCCAATAAAGTAAAGGATACAGTTACAGTACAGTTTGATGGGTACTGTCATAGGCATCTATGTGTGTAACACATGTCAAAGATCCTGACTGCTTGTTGTGGAGAGTGGGGACGGGAAAGATTTCACAGAGGAGGTACCTCTTGAGTTGAGACCAGTTTCAGTCAGTTCCCCAGGCAGGCAAAACTAGATGGAAATGTGTGAAAATACAGAATACCTTGAAAAAGATTTCATGATTTAAAAAATCTGAAAAAAATTAAACACGGTAAATGAATTTTACTTCCTTTACCACCTTATCATCTTTCCCTCTATTTTGTGGTCAGATATGCTTTATTTTTTCTTGGCTTCTTCCCTTTTCTTTAATAACACTTCCCTATTTAAAATCCCAATTAATTTTCTACAGAGCAGGAACATCTGTTTCCTTTAACCCTGAGACTAAAATTTTATATCAGTGGCCAACAGATGCTAAGCATTAAGAGGAATGCTTAGGCAGGCTAAGCCATGGTACACTAATGTCTAGAAGTTGAAACACTTTAAACCAGTCTGAGTACATCTCAAAGACTTTACCACCTAAGATTATTTGTTTAAATTTTAGGGTTTATAAACTCCAGGAACAAAGTTGTATGTATTATATATTTCATACTTGTAAATGATTTTCATTTTTTAAATGGTTTAACATACAAATGTATATGACACACCCCACTTCTTTAATAATAGCCATGTTTCTAAGTGCCTCAAAATCTTTTATTATGAAAAATTCAAACATACAAAGGTAGAAAGAAGAGCACAATGAAGCCTCATATACTCAGCATTTCATCAACCCTACTCCTTCCACCACACACACACTGGATTACTTAGAAACCAATCCCGGACAGCATATCATTTAAGCATGTTTCTTTAACAAGACATTCAGGGAAGGAAAAAATATACATTGCAAAATCATGAATTTAGGTACTCCATTAAGGAAGATGATAAAGCTCCTTTGCAAATTTATTTTCCAGCCACTTTACTACATAAATCTTTTGCTTAATACAATAAATCTGCACATTATTCCCCAAACTTGCAAATTTTTGATTCTGTGGAATGCTTTACATGCTTTGGTCTCTTCTGCAGCCTGTGCTCTGTTCTTTGCCCATCTGATTATGCTCTTTCAGGGCTTGATTCAGTTCCTGCTTTCTCCTTGAGGCTTTTCCTGACTTCCCTTTATGAAAACAGCACTTTTTTGTCAGCATGGCTCAGTAGTCACATATGCTACAGCGAATTGCTATTTAGTTTTGAAAATACATGTCCTATTAAAACTGCTGTATACCTCAGTTAAGATGTATAAAATAAGAGTATTCATAACATATATATGAGGATAAATAAGATAATCTAAAATAAGCACTCAGTGAATATCAATTGTTGTAAAGTCCTGGAGGAAAGGAATCATGCTATGTACTTTTTAAATCCCATATCTAGCCTTATACCCCAGAGTAGATATTAAATATATGTTTAGTTATGTTGGCTGGAAGGAAATATATTTCATGAGGTTATTATCAAATACTGTATTTATCAACATGCTGATATGTATGTTCAATATACATGTTCAAAATATGACCTTTGGAAGGTAAGCATTGTGAGATATTTATTATTTTCTATCTAGAATTGATCCTGAGTTCATCCATTAACTCTGTTTAAGTTATAAAATGTGTATCACTTGTCTTCACCGATGCAAAATTAAAATCCAATTTAATTAAAACAAAGGCATATTTAAATTTACTCTATCTATGAAAAAGATGATTTCCATAGAAAAATAAAATAACACAAAAGTTTTTTATCTTTTTCAGACTGTAATACTTAGAAAGTTTGAGAAATCCAAAAAAGTTGAGAAGTAGGTTAAAAACCTTACAGAGATGATCACTGCATTATACTTTTGAATAAAGCTTTACATAGCTAAAGATATGATTGTGAAATCGTGCATGCTGCTTTTCCTACCACTTAGCATTGTATGTAATCATTTTTGTCCTTAAGGATATTGGTAAATAACATGTATCTTTTTTTTAAATGTTTTGAATAGTTTATAAATATTCTAAAAATGTATAAAAGGTTAAAAGTATTATGACAATTTTTGACAGGGCTAGTTTCTTTTTTTAGAATTCTGGCCTTTTTTTTCCATGTGAACTTCAAAATCAATTATCTCTATTTCAAAAGTAACTTGTTGATATTAAGTTCACTTTAAATTTACAGATTAATTTAACGATATTGCCTTCTAATATAAGAATCAGGTATAGCACTTCATTCTACTTCTATGTTCTTCGTTATGTCTTAAGGTTTTGTCAGTTTTGTTCTTTGATGCCAATCTTTAGCATTTCATAGTAAGCTTATTCTAGATATTTTGCTATTGTACATGAAATCTTTTTTTTCTTATTATGTCTTTTAACTGGTTGATGATATATTCATGAAGGCTATTGATTTAAATATTTTAATTATGTACTTAGCCACCTTACTTGATTATTTTATGGTCTTGTAATTGTTTTTCACTAGATTCTTTTGGGCTTATTATATATACAGTAGCATTTGTGCACTTTTTATTTATTCAACTATCCCTTATTTGGTTCCTAATGTGTGTTAAATGCTAGAAATTGAGTCTGATAAGACAATGTCCACTCTTCAGGGACCATTCAGTATTATAATAAATGTATATCAGTTTGCTATGGGAACAGAAAGGAGAATTCTATATGAAATAGGAGAGGGGAAGCAGATGAGTTCAAGATTTCCTGGAAAGATAATGCTTGAGCTGAATTTTGAATAGAGTAAGTCTACCTTTCTTTTGCTATGACTGGAAACTTACGATTTCCTGTGTTATTTTTATTGAATAACTTTTAAACATTCAGCAGTAAATGATCAAGTGCTTTTCTTCCACCAAAAGCAAATAACATAGTATTGCTTAAATTTAAAGCATCCTTATCCTAAAAGGATTTCAGAATTGAAAGAAACTTTAGCCAACATTTAGTCCATCTCTCTACTCTCCACTCAGTTTTACAGATGTGAAACAGAGACTTAGAGGCTAGTGATTCCATTCAGATCATGTAGCCAGCTACTGGTAGAGCTTGGAGACTCTTTGTCCTACATGTTGTCTGGGTCTCCAGAACATCTGTATTATTTACATATTGATTCAACTTTGATGAGCTATTTTGGATTTGTGACATTTTTTTGTAGTAGTGTTTTTAAAGTTGTTGAATTTAGAATTTTTGTTACATCTTCTCCATTCCTTAGCCCAAAGACTAAAGAAGAACGTACATTCTCAGAATACCTTATTATTTTGGTTTTAAGTGTTCTCAGACATGTTTTTCTGTTTGGCTTTTTGAAGAAAAAAATACGATTCTTTATATGGACTGGTCAGGCATATTTTGCCTATGCAGGTTTTCTTTTGATATTAATTTTCCTTTTTCTCTTTTTAGTCTGCCATTTTCAATTTTCAGAGTCTGTTGACTGTAATCTTGCTGCTTATATGTACCTGTGCTTATATCCGATCCATGGCACCCAGCCTCCTGGACAGAAATAAAACTGGGTATGTTACTAATGATGTCTAATCACCCAAATTAATTCTTATAGATATTGAATGTAAATTACTCTAAACGTCATTAAACAATTTAATTTCTATATGTAGCTTAGTTTTGTAATAACTTTTTACATTATTTTCTTCCTCTGTTTTAAAAATCAAACTATATTCACAGAATCTTATTAAATAAAAAGATAAATATCAGAAGTGACCTGAAATTTGTTAGATTGAAAAATATGTATATTTAAAAGATGCAACATATTTTTTTGCTGGGATTAAGAATATAGAATAATTAGTAAAATCGGTTATCACATTTTGAAAGTATTAAAGTTTGTAAGCATACTTTCTATAAAAATAATAATATATATATTCTCCGGTCTATGACTGCTCTAATCATATGAACCCCCAGTCTATATCATAAAGTAAACATCTTTGAAGAAATTTATTTACTTAAACATTCTTGGGCATGTCACATCCCTATTAATTATTAGATTCATTATCCCTCCCCCCAAAAAAATTTGAGCTTAATATCATAACACACAGAATTAAATGTTAAAGTGTAATGTTCATAATACAGAAATACATGTTGAATTTAACCAAAAGGAGAGTATATTAAAAAAAGAGAACATGTGGTAAAAACTGTTTTCTTTGCCTTATGTATTTGTTAATTTTCTATGAATAATTGTCTTAATCCTTTCATGATAAGAACCTGTACCTCACTTAATGATTTTAAGAAGTAAAAGGATGAAATAATAGAATATTTCACATAAGAATAATTATCTCCAGCACCTTTTTTTGTTTTTAACAGGAAGATAAGATAAAGGCCAAATTAGGATCCCAAATTAGGTCAAACACTTCTCTTCCGCTAATAAAAACTTCTACAAAAGGCCAAGTGGTAGATATTCAACCATAAGAGTAATAATTTCTGCTCTCTTTCTTTCAATCCTATTCTATCTTTGGAGTCCTAATTAACATCAATCCAAACATCCCATTCTCTAAATTATTTGTGGGTTTTTTTTTAACCCTTTTTATTTACTAGGGTTGTTTAAACATTTGTAAAGAAATAAATAGAGCGCTAACCAGTTTTGAATATTGAAAATCGTTAGTCCTATTCTAATAAACTGATAATCTGTCTCTGTTTGCCTGAGGGATTTTATTTAATTTACTAAAGTTGAAAACAGATGCTATTTGTCCATCAGTTTTTATGACAATGCCCCCCTTCCTTTGTAGACATTGTCTTTTTGTCATTCCTTTTTTTCTAAACTATTGCACTTCGTCTTCGGCACTCAATTTAATACTTTGTCCATTTGTTGAAATTGCTTAATTGTATTTGTTTCTTACTTGTGTGTGAAGTCTTTTTACCCAACCAGTTTTATTTCCTCCTTTCCTTTCTCTGTAACCCCAACTATTACTTAAAGTTAAAGCATATGGTGGAAAACAGTAAACATTCTCATTGATCCATTGTTTGGATTTCTAATATAACACTAACTTCTATCTGTTATACTTTTAAGTGTTTGTTTCATTAAAGAATAATCACATAATAGTAGAATAGAATATGTTGATGCTATTATGAAGAAAGTAGATTGCATGTGGAAATATGTCTGTTCCTCATTCCTTTGGGAGCAGGAATACCTCCATAACATGCTACATAAAAGGAGTTCTCAGGGCTGCCAACCTTACAGTAGAGGTTGAGTAGTAGTATATTTCTCCTACATAGACGACCTAAGAAATAACATGCGTATTTTTACTTTAAAGTTTATGTTGATAGTCAACTCTTTGGAAGCTTTTTTAAAAAAACTTTTCTATTTATATAAATATCAAGCCCCATTTTATTTTGATTTGTTTATAAAATATTTTCTGTAGAAAAATTTATACACCATTGTCTTTTTTTGTTAAATACATATCTTTACAGTGAGTATTCCATGCTTAAGTTGAGAGTCTAGGTCGATTGCATAAAGCTAGTTCTTGATGACTTCACTGTTGGAAATAACAACTTAATTTTTTTGATGCTTCAGATAACAGAAATAAAAAACAGCAGAAAAAGCTTGCTATTTTGTCTTGTTTCCTATTTTTGTAGACCTGATAGCTTTATCAGAAGGTATACTTATGGGCTCATAGCCATAGAAAGTAAGCAGCATAATTGTATGGGTTTTTACCATCTATTAAAATTCCTGTGTTTTAATGAATAGCATTTGGAATAATACAGAAATATGTCTAAGAAGAAAATATGTCTAATAAAGGCCAAAGTGGCAGTGGTACATCTCTCAGTGGCCAAGTTGGGAATTTTTATTTTATTTGAATAGCTTTAATATGTCAGCTGTGCTGTACACATTTGATGATACTTAGTAGAATATTATATCTGAAAAGACCTTGACTGTGATCATGTGGTTTCAGACTATGTTCTGTGGGACTTTAAGCTTCCCATGGAGGAGCTCCAGGTATCCTGCCTGAGTCCCACAAGCAGAGTAGCTTTAAATCAATAGTGTATATTATAATCAATAGGTTTTTAGGATCAAGGAACCATGGCATTACAGATCACTAACCTATTGTCTTCCATTTTTTTATGAAATATAATCTGATTTTAAGTGATATCTGAAGTTATTATCACATGTGCCTTTAGCAGCCTCTGTATTACTGAACATAGCACATGGTCACTGTTCTAAAGACTTGCTGAGTAAAAACTTTTTTAATCCTTTTAACAACCCTATTGAGTGCTAAATGCTATTAAAGAGATAAATGGCTCAAGTTAATCACAGTTAAGCAACCAGTTAAGTAAGATTAATTTTAGGCACAATCTGGCCCTTTTATTAGCCTTCAATACTTTCATTCTAGAGTATATATAGTTTTTGTCCTTTTATTCTTATAGTAAAATCGTTTCACCTGTCAGAATGTCCATCCTTCAAAATAACTTCTATTTTTACCCATTTCATTTAATCTGAAGAAAGAGACTTTGCTTTGAGGTCAGGAAGCTATTATACTTCAGAGGAGGAAGAACCTATTTAGAACTTAATTGAACCAGTATTTTCTTTCAGTCTTAATCATTCGAATATAATGAATGATTCATTAACCAGACATCTCTTTGGGCAAAAAGAGGGTAATATAAATTTCCCTGGAATTTAAGTATCATGATTTTGTTACACTGATCCTAACTTACTACAATAAGTAATTTTAATTTATCTTAACTTGTAACCATGCACAACACCATTAATTATTCTGTCAGACCAACAAAATAGTTATCTACAGTGTTTTTATTTTTTCTGATATCTCTATTCATTGAATGTCTTTGATTGCTTTTTTTTTTACATTGGTACTTTTTGTATGTCAAATAAGTGATATATACATATAATATGTATTTAATCATAATATATTCATTTGTAGAATTGAAATGGACATCTTCATTTGCATTCTCTTTTATTTCCAGAAAGTGTTTTTAAATTCCCATATTTAATTACCTCATATACATTGTCCCTAAACTGGGATTTTCTACTTATATTGAAAAAATAGGCACATATTTTTGTATTCTTCTTTGTTGAATGTTATAGTTTTATAGATGCTTTTTCTGGAGTTCATGGTTGTAAATTATTTAAATATAGAGCTGCATTTTAAAAGACAAAATAGTAAGCCCTTATGCAAATTTTTGACACTTTTGCATTAATCTACAGTAGGTTTAACCTAGTACACCACATGCATTCCAGTTAGTAAGTTTATATACATTAATAATGGTTAAGTTATTGTATTCTACTTTTCTACATAAGTAACTTAATATCAAACTAATTTCAGTTTGGAAGCAAAGCATCAGAAGTTAAAATACTAGTATAATGAATTCTCTCTATAATACTGAGAGAATGATTTATCTTTCCCAGTAATCAGTAGCTACTTTTTTTTCTTCTATGCAGATTGTTGGGTATATTTTGGAAGTGCGCCAGAATTGGTAAGTGTCTGTATAATCTTCCTTTCTTCAGCAGTAAATTGTTGGCCAGTTTACTTATGTCCTAATCACACAAATATAATGTCAGTTTTTAAAGTATAGGCTTCCTAATTTTCTGCAATTTTGTAAAAGTTTGTAGAGTTCTCTGAATTCTTTTTCTGTTTCCCCCCCCCTCTATGTTTTTTAAAGCTAGACTTGGTGGATACCTGTCTCTCTTAAAATTCAGGTATAAATACTGCGCATTCCTGGTTTTGAGATTTTAGACAGATATGTATAGTTTTATGCACATATGCCTATAGTAGAGAGCATTTTGTTCTGTATAATGTGTACCATTTGGATGACTCAGGATGACTTCCCTAGCAATAAAAGGCTTGCTGAGCAACTACCTAAACATAATCATTTTATTGCACTATGCTAAGTCATAGAGTATTATTTGTTGCTTTTAGAAAACATTAACTTTTGTCTGTTAAATCCACATGGACATAGCTGAGCTTTATTATGATTGACTAAGTTAACATAAATGTAGTTATCTTTTAACTTTTCATAAGATTAGTAGCATCTTAAGTGTATTTATATTTAGATGATAATATACTCTTGTCTTATTCAGCTATCTATGTAATATTTAGCACAGTGTCCAGCAGCACATAGTAGACTCTCAAATGATTGGTAGTGAATGAATTAAAATGTATTGCATTGCTGTAATTCACCAGTACTCTTGAATAATAGATTATACCTGTTTTAACATGGCTTGTTCAAAAACAAGTACTTCAGGGCATTGGTACTTATACCACCTCAACTGAAAAAATGACTATTTCTTGTCCTCTTTAAAATTATTTATATGACTCCCTCAACAAAATGATTTTTATACTCTCTTCTAACATTGAATTTATATAATACTACTTTTTTCATAAGACTGTCAGGCTTTAATAATGAAGAAAATAGCCAATCTGACAACTGCCTGAATTCCCTAAACTAATTCCTTTAGATAGGATGGAAAATTTAAGAATCATCTCCTTTATATAAGCTGTGCTCCCTTTCAAGTATTATGTTTTATTTTTATTGTCACTTTGCAGAGATGTGAAAGTTCTAGAAGATGGCCCATAACAGGAAACAAAATTTATTAAAGATTGAAAAATATAAACTGAATTCTTACAATATTTAGAATTTTTTTAAAGAAGATCTGAAAATTGATGTAATGTATCTAAAGATAATTATAGACATAACCTATTCTCAGTAAGGACTAAAAATTAATTGTAGGAGTTTTGAAAATTTTTAAAGCATCTTCCAAGATCCATATGGTGTTAACATTGAAATCCTTATATTTTTTAAAACAAAAAATCTGTTATGATGAGATTATACATTTCCTTGGCCTTTTAGGTTTCTTCCTATAGAAAACAATAGTAAAAGCACAAAGAGCTTCATGGAAAAGTACCTCTTTCAAAGCCCTCATTCTAATATGTTGACTATTGACACATACATTTTAAATTCTCTGAACTTAAAATTCAGAGAATTCATTGTGCTTTTAACATGTTACACTGTTCTTCGTCAGTGTTCTTTGTTGGGCTTTATTCTCTCTTGAACATTGATAGACATGAGAATCTTGTTTTGGTAAGAAATATTGACCTCAGATTGGTAAAGCACAGACATAGCCTAGATAAGTGGTTGTCAATCAGGGGACATTTGGCAATGTCTGGAGATGTTTTGGATTGTCACAACTAGACTGGGGGTACATACACTGGGTATAGGTCAGGGATTTGCTAACCATCCTGTGATGCATAAGACAGCCCCTTCCAACAGAATTAGCCCAGAATGTCAATAATGCTGAAGTAGAGAATACCCAGCCTAGATTGGCAGAGCTTTGTGGTACAGACTTATCTGGCATTCAGTCATGCTCAACAGCTAGCTGCAAGCCCTGAAATAGTAGAAATATTAAGCACTTCAAAAATAACCAAAAGCCCTAACCGGTTTGGCTCAATGGATAGAGCGTCGGCCTGCGACTGAAGGGTCCCAGGTTCGATTCTGGTCAAGGGCATGTACCTTGGTTGTAGGCACATCCCCAGTGGGGAGTGTGCAGGAGGCAGCTGAATCGATGTTTCTCTCTCATCAATGTTTCTAACTTTCTATCCCTCTCCCTTCCTCTCTGTAAAAAATCAATAAAATATATTTAAAAAAGAGAGATAAAGAGACACAATAGCACCATCGATGGCTAATGCTGATAGCGAATGGTAAATGTATATATAAACCAGACTGTGTGCTGCAGAGCCAAGTCACCCGGAAGAAGAAATAATATTGTCGAGGAGTTGAGTGGTCAGAGTATTTCAAGTAAACTTCAAAGAGAGACATAATGGAAGAGCAAGACAGTTTGAGAAAACAGAGAGAATATCACTGCATTAAAGTAATTAATTCTAAATGTTCATTGGTAAAAGTAAATACAGTATGGAGTTAGGAGGCTGAGCTTTCATCTCAGTATTATCATTAAGTTTCTAGTTCAGAAATAAAATATTAAGGTATTAGAAATTCATTTTATGTAATAAATTAGAGAAGTTCAGCTTCATTCATTAGTCAACCCAGGTAACTCCTTTACTCATAATTATGCCTTGAAAATAAAGCTAGAAATTTAGGACATTCAGTTTGTAGCTTAATGCTTTACTGTAGTCTCATCTGTTCTTATATCTAATTATAAACTGCCTTTCCTTTTTTTGCTTGCTCATTTATTATTTTTATTTTCCTCTCAATTACATGACTCTCATAGGTTAAAGAGTTCAGTTAACATATTACTTCTTGCCAATTCTATAAATGCATTAGCTTTTCATTTTGGCCAAGGGACTTAAAAAATGTTGATGCTGATATGCTGCTTTCTCAAACACATGCTCCTCTTATCTTGACACAGAATATATCCACAAGTAAAGGATGCAATTTTAATGGGAAAAGACCCAGCCAAATCATCTTATGTTACACATCACATTACAGCAACTGTTTCACATTCACGTATACAGAACCAAGACCAGACAAGATCTTACCCAAGTTCAACTAAAGATGTTTAATTCTACCACATGGCAATCTCTTTTAAGAAAATTAAAAACAGGAAAATGAAACCCACATGTAAGTTATAGCATTCTAAGTTAGAGAATGAGGAGGAGAACGTCCTCAAAAATTAATTTCCAGCAGATGGAAAATTTAGGACAATATTAATTTCTCTTTGGGGTGTTTAATAAGACTGTTGGACAATGAGAGTTTCTAGCCCCAAGGAGGGTAACAGGCTTACTTATGGAATCTACCTGAAATTTATGTTGGAATGAGCTTGTGTGTCTTTTAGTTTTGTTTAATAACGAGTTTTTTTTACCATAAAAAAAAAATCAGTATTGCTTAAAATGATAACCCAAGGAGATTTTTAGTTTTAAAAGATTTTTTTTCTAGTTGAGGTAGTGGTACTGTGAAAATACTATTCTCTCTAGATTTTCCTTTAGCTGGAAGCAGTCCATTAAATGTCCATGGATAGAAAAACACTTTCAGAAAAACACCAAATGTTTATTTTATTTATGTGTGTATGTAATTTCTTTTATGACTATTCTCATTGAACAGACACAAAGATGTATACTCACTAAAAATAAGACTGTGAGCTCAATTGAGGATTTTAGTTAGATTAGATAAGTGTGGTCAAATTTGATGTTTTTCTGAGGTAGTTAACTGACCTTGCTAAATGAAATAAGGAACCTAGTTACTAGCAAAGTGCTGGTTTTAAACATCACACAAGTGAGTGATGTATAAACCATAGAGGGTCCCGGTACAAACCCAGGATCATTTCCAGAAGTAGTACATCACTCTTTCTTCATCCTTTCTTATCCTCAAGGCAGCACATAAATACCTGGTGCTTTGTGGAATTGTACATCCTTGCAATTGCTAAAGAAACAAGAAAGAATAAGATGAATTTGAGTTAACTCACAATCACAAATCTCTTTTTGCAACACCATTTCACAAGCCAACTCTAGGTCTATTTCATGCAAAGGAAAGTCACCCCAGTATAAACAGTCCCTAAACACATATAAAAATCAACTCATACTGAAGTGATTGTTTTAAGTTCTATTTCTGACCCAGAGTAATCATAACTATAAAAAACATATAAAAGGTTTGATATGAAATTCATCTCAGAAACTGTTATATTTCGAATAGGTTTTTTATTAAACATCTTATTTTATGCCCATTCTTTAAACGCATTTTTATTGATCACCCTCTGTTCATTTTCCTCCACAAATGCTTCTTTTTCCCTTTTAAAAGTGTCACAAATTGCTACCAATGAGGAAAAAAATGGCTAAAATTAGTATGTTTAATTTTTTTTTTAATGGAAGTTTCCCTTTCTGCAGAAAAAATTAAGCAATATTTGTTTGGCCTTAATTGAGGATAAATCATTTCTCTTGGCTCTCTGTCCTACATTCTGTGTTGTATTTTTTTAATATCTGGGTTTACTCTGGCACAGGAATGGTGCATTGAAGATTTTCTAAACAAGTGAAAAGGAGGTGCTCTTAGAAATAAATTGATATAGTTTGTGCATTCTGTATTGTACTTTTTAAAATGTTTTTATTTTTTTATTGATTTTTAAAGAGAGGGGAAGAGAGAGCGAGAGAGAGAAACATCAATTTGCTGCCTCCTGCATGGCCCCCACCAGGGATCAAGCTGCAACCTCAGGCGTGTGCCTTGACTGGGAATTGAACTGGTGACCTCCTGGTTCATGGGTTGATGCTCAACCACTGATTCACACCAGCTGGGCTATACTTGCTTTTATATTGCATCTAGTTCTTGTTTTCCCCACCCACCCTCAAAATATATGGACTTCATAACAATAACTTTATCTTGATTCTTATGTACTCTTCTCCAATAGTAAATAACCGAATCATATCTGTTAGCTACTCAGTTAATCAACTTGAATATTTCCCTTGTTTCCAACAGGTGAACGGAAGAGTCCTTATGTTGCAGTATGCTGTATAGTGATGGCCTTCAGCATCCTATTCATGCAGTAACTTGGAAAAATACCTGAATTTAATTGCCATCAGATTTCAATATAAAAAGGGGACTTATCTGCAGAAAATAATGCAAAGAATGGATAACTTTGTTTCAACATTGAATGAGATAAATTCCCAGCTGCTGTTCTCTATTTTGTTATTGGACCAATGTTCTATATAATTAGGATGTAACTATTTAATACTTAAAGAGTTTGTAGCAATCAATCTCAGTACTGTCACTACCATATTACATTCTGCAAATGTCATTTCGTTGTGTCCAATACCAGTTTTTAGTGAGGTATCTCTAAGGCACATAGTAGAAAAATTTGGTAAATTATTCAAGTTCCTTTCACTGTGACTTGGAAGTGATATATCTTTATGGAATGAGACCGTATATTGAACTAGCTTTTTTATTGGGGAAAAAAGGGGTTCAATTTGTGTTGCTAAGGGTTGCATTCATATTTAATAATACTTGCTTTACCTCTGGCCACACCATTTTGAGCATTAACCAGAGTACCTCTACTCTTAACGAACTCTGTAGTTTATAGCAGGTTTTCAAACTATTTAAAATAGGCCTGTGCCGTTCTAAGGAGAAAGATAAATGAGATGTGACTTGAGTAGTAGTGAGAAAGTGTTCATATTTAACGTGAAAGGATTTAGAATAGCTGATTGGTGTAGTCGCTCCTGCAGCCTCTCTGGTTAAGTATGGATAAATGTCTTAAGCGTAAATTTGACCAGCTGTCATTTTCTAAGTAAAACTATATTCTTAGAATAAAAAGAACAAAACAGAACAATTACAAAATGATAATCCTGTATTGTGTAGAGTCAGGTCTCCACTTATTTTAATTACCCTAAAATACAAACTGTATTTTTTTTGTTTTTTAATACAGCACTTTGAATCTGGTTTATGTTTGTCTGTCAACTTGAACTGGAATCTCTTATGTAACTTAATAGGTGATGATTAATTGTTTTCAAATCTACTGATCCATGGACCATCTTAGCCAGAAATTGCCCATTATATATAGTATTAATTAGTTATTTTTCTCAGCTAATTGTTCTCCCTATAAAGGTAAAAAGAAAACAAATTTTTTAAAGAAAATAGAATTATTTTAAAATGAGTCTGCTAGTAACGCTTTCTGCAGAAACAAGACATAGATCTGAAAGCCACCTCTTTTTAAAAATTAAACTACTTAGAAAGAATTCTAGGAAACATCTAAGAAAAGCTGGGTATGTGTTGCCAACTTTTTCTTTTTCTTCTTTTTTCAAAAGATAAAAGCTGCTTGTAAGCTGACAATATATTTTATTTTACATTTTTGGCCTATCTAAAGCTGGTTTAAAGTGTTATATTTTGCTTTAGATAGAGAATCAGGTTATGGTAATTGTTCCTATTCTGAACTTTCTGTTGGGCTTTGCATTAGGTCAAGGATTTTCAGGGTATCCCCAAAATAGTACTCTCTTGTCAGCATATATACATGCAGAGTAAGTCACCTTTCTGGGTCTGCTTGCTTATCCATCTGTTGTCCAACTCTGCTGCCAACTAGTCTTTCCAGAAGCTATGTCAACTAACTTTTCACATGTTAGATGAGTCTAATACAAAAAAAAAAAAAATAGATGAAAATTCTAGGTAATCAATTCTAAGACATTTCTTTAATTTGGCATTTTGGAGGATATAGGAGGAAGATAGAGGAAGCAATAATTTCTTTGGAAAATCTGTGGTAATATATAAAAATTTGAACTCTGTAGATTCTGAACAGAGTGGGAGGCAACTTATTTCTGACCCCAGCCATTCTGACCTTTTGAGACCTAAGCTGTTTTGGAGGTGGGAGAAAGACACAGGATTCTATGAATAAAGGCAGTTACCATTTTCTTTAATGTATTGCTTTCAAAGATTTACCACTGAATCCTATTCTATAACCCAAAAGGCAGTGTAGGTAGTTTTAAGCCTAGGGAATATTCAGATATTCCCTTTGTGGCGTTGGTGGGATGGGAGGATGCAGAAGAGGAATAAGGATCAGGTTCCACATCTGATGGACTGTTGCTGTCACACAGTCTTACTGAGGGGCTGGATGGCATAATGGGCACTGCAGTTCACAGATTACTACGTTCAGTTACTCCCCCTAACCTTCCTGGCTTCAGAATCTTTTTATTCCATCTCTCCTAGAATTTGTTTTGTACTGATAATTAGTTCCTGGTTGGCCTCAGCTCTGCCAATGGTAGGGGCATGTCTTCTTTCTAAGCAGTCTTAAAAGATAGTCAGTCAAAACGCCACATAGTGTGTCGAATTCCCTCTGTGGCTTAAAGTTTAGAATCAAGTCCAGTGTCTCCTCAGTGCCTGTGCCGCTGGTCGAGGCACTATCCTGAATGCTCTTACATATTCAAATTCCAAATAGCCCTTTTGTGCTAGGGATAACAGTAATATGCAATGTGTAATAGGCTCTTTCATCTTAGTGATATGCAGACCAGCCTAGTTTAATCTTAGGACAAAATAGAAGTTTGAATGAACTAACTTCTCCAAGTTTACAAAATCACAAATAAAACTAAGATCTCTGCTTAGTTTTGTGAAAAGAACTAGGACTTGTAAATAGAATATTTGTGTTTCATTATTCTTTCAAGAAACATATAGTATATTACCACTAAGGATAGATAAGTACATTTTCTTCCTTCCAGTAGTCATAAAGTAGTAGTGGGTGAAAGAGCATTTATAATTGAGATAATGCCAGGTTTCTAGAAGAAAATAAGGGTGACAACGCAGTCAGGGATATGAACTTCGAAAGAAGCAATGCCTAAGCTGAATTTAAGAGCAATATGCAAAGGCACCAGTGGTATATTGACCATAAGTACCTAGCTTGTGCCACCTGGGGGTTAGTAAGATAAGCCTAGAAAGGTAAGCAGAGGTTAGATCCTAGAGGGTGTATATTTTTCTCATTTCCTATTACCTACCTCAAAATTGAAGCTTAATATGTGTTCCCTCTTGCCTAACCCAAAAAAAAAAAAAAGTCAACAAAAAAATAAAATCCTTCCTTGGTGAATATATAAACAAGGTTGAACATATATATTGGCCCAGGAATACAATAGCATATGCTTCAGAGACTCACCTGCTAAGTATATATAGCAATGGCAACCGGGTCAAGTATTTTTAAGAACCCTAGTCACCCACACTCCATCAGTGCCAAAGCAGCCATGATTGTTAAAGCACACATCAGCACAAGAGCAGACATTTCTTGGGTGTACAAAAAAATATTTACAATAAGCAAGGACTTAATGCTCTTTTCAAAGCCTGTGAGAGGTTACTGGATCATGGGAAGCTAAAAACAAGAATGGAAAGACTGCTTTTTACTCTCTTGGTATTCAGTAACAATAGATGTTCAGAAGATAAGTAGCTGAGCACAGCAAGTACACAACTAACGTCGTTTTGTTATAATATTGATGAGATGCCTTAGGAGCTTAACTCTTGTTTATATCCATTAGCCTATGGCGAACTTGCTTTTGCTGTACATAGTTTTATTGAAAGTCAGAACCTATTGATGTTAAGTGAGAACTCTAATAGCGTTGTGGATACTGTACAGCCTTGTTCTCAATAACAATTAGCAAGTTACACTAGCTTCCAGAAATAGCTTCACAATTATGTCATTTGTATATTGCCCTCCATGGTGTCTTTTACTTTGCCCTAAATTAATCCCAAATTATCTGAAATGCCACTCCAATGTCAGAAAAAAGGGGGAGAATTGGAAATACATTTCCTGTGATTTTAAGAGTGCAATTAATCATCTTTCTTTGGTTAGTCATCATGCCTATGGTGTATAATAAAGATCAAAATGAACTCTCAAGAGCCTCCTAATTTTTATTGTCAGATGAGTGAAAGTTTCTTTAAAGGTTAAAAAAGTTGAAATTGACATCTTTTGAGTAAGATGGTAAAAGAGAAATGTCTTTTTTTTTTTTACCTTCATTTTTTAATTAATGGTCAAGATCAGTTTGGGGAGTTTATATGTTTTTGGTTGTTGTGTTGCAACTTAGGACTGTTCAGTCTATTACTGTTTCTTTGAGTGAGCCTTCAATAGTCTAAATTACTTACTTTAGGTAGGAAGTCATTAATTCCCCCAGAGATGGTTAAAATCTGATTTTTTATATTGCCTCCTTTTGAGTAGCATGGTCTTTCTGCTGTTGTCTTCCCAGAGCGGATGTAACAGACATACCTTTGTTAGTTAGACCTGTTACTAAAAAGAATTCATGTAACCAAATGAATTGCAACAACTATGCAGAGGTGGGCAAAAGTAGGTTTATAGTTGTATGGGAAATCATACAATAATTAATAATACAAGAATAAACTGTTTCCTCATACAAATGTAAACCTACTTTTGCACACCCCTGTATTAGTAGCTGAATTTTGAACTCAAAAAATATTTCAGATGTGAATAGAAAAACAGTGTCTTAGTTTCCTTTGATGTGTATTGTAAACCCCTCACTGCTCCATTTTATTACCAGTTGATGTGAGACTATAGAGAAAGTCACTGAATTTCTGATTTCTAACTACTCAAACGAATTCAAAATGGTTGCTTAAGACCATTGAATTTAACATAGTAGAAAAGCAAAATCTGCAAGTCTGTTTCAACTCAGAAGATTTGCATTGATATCCTTAACCATAGAGATTTGTCTGGATTGGGGTGTGGGGGATCATAAGTATTGGAAATAAGGGTAGTCACCAAATACACTGTAAAGTATGAGAACTACAAAATACCCAGACACTAATAGTGTTTGAACTTGTTTTGACAAGGGAAGTGGCCTAGAAGCAAATGTGTAGTGATTGAGGATTTTTACTCAAATGCCAAACTGTGTAATTTTTGAGCCACTTTAACATTTTTGGTCAAGTACTATGTCTAGGCTAAATGCTGGAAAAATAATGCACAAAGATACTAAACTGTTTAAAAAGAACCGTTTAAGGCATAAAGGATTTCAAGAAGGCTGGCATCAAAGCAATATTTGCAGTATTGAAGTGTTAAAGGCAAGTTTCCTGCAGACTTCAAGTAGGACCAATGTATTTCACCTTGGAAATTAAAAATTATGAAGTTAGAATAATCACATTATTATTTAATTAGGGCTCCTGGAAAACAAGACAGTTTTTCCTTTCAATGTTATTTCATAAAAACGTTGTTTATTCTTTGCTTGTTTTTCACTTAATGTTATGAATTCACAAATGGAACCTCTGTTAAATCTTGGAAAGTAATGAGTGTAACGTGATTTGTATGTTTAAGAAGTTTACAATCCTTCCTATATAATAAAGAGCTAATATGCTAATTAGACCAAACAACAGAATGACCGTTAAGACATCCTTCCGAACTAAGCCGAGGCTGTGAGGGCCGGCCCGGGGCAGCCAGGTCTTCAAGGGCCGAGCCCCTTGCACGAATTTCATGCATTGGGCCTCTAGTATGAAAATAAGAATCCTGGATGGGTAGCTCAGTTGGTTAGAGTATCATCCCATACACCAAAAGATTGTGGGTTTTATTCTAGGCCAGGGCACATATCTAGGTTGTGGGTTTGATATCAGGCTGGAGTGCATACAAGGGGCAACCAATAGATGTTTCTCTCATATCAGTGTTTCTTTCCCTTTCTCTAAAAAGCAGTAAACATATATGACAATAAGAGCTGTAGACCACAAAAATATTCAGGTAGTAGAGTTAGATTAGTTTTCTGAAAATTCAGTCTTATGAATAATCTAAACCTCATTCAGAGATTTCTGTTAATGTGCCCCTGTTCTCTAATTCAAAGACAAAATAACTGATCTAATTATAAACCCAATGTAAAATAGCATTTATACTCTGGCAACTCCAAAACTCACTGAGTTTTTAGTAAGTATCACAAGCACCTTTTCAAAGAAGTGTAATTTAACCTATTAACACTTAGAAATTGGACATAGAAAACTATTGAGATATTTGTTGAATCCTTAGGCAATTAGTTTGACCTGCCATGAAGAATAGAAATAGTAGTAGAACTCAGGATAATTTTTGTGCTCCCAAGAAATGTGAAATTAACCCCTTGGCATTTCTGCCTCACAAGGTAGAGACCATAACTCCCTTTCTACTCCTAGAAAAATGTGAGAACTGATTGCATGTCAATAATAACATCAGGATATACAAGATAGAGCAAGACCAATACAGCTCCTGCTATCATGGAACCTGTGTTCTAGTGAAGACCAACTAACCAAAAAGTTAAGTAAGCATACCCAACCTCTAGTAAGGAACCTGAAGAAAACAGCATTATTTAAATGGAGTGGTCAGAGAAGGCCAGTCTGAAGCATGAGTTTAGAGGCAGAAGGATCAGCATATTCAAAGACCCAGAGACAGGAAAAGAGCTTGGAACTTGAAGTGGTCAAGAAATGCATAGGACACTAGCATAAAGAATATTCTAAGTGAGACAAAGAATGGTGTAAATTGGATAGAAAAACAAGCCAAATCATGCAGTGCTTTGAGCCAAAGAAAAGGCCAGCAGACTCATGCAAAAGGTCACTACACAATTGGAGCAGGTTTAGTAGTTTCTCTAAAGCTGCTATGTTGAGTACTGGGCCTGAACTCCACAGGGAAGGAAAGGCTAGAAGCTTCAGGATGGATTAAAACCCCATGTCACTTCTTACTCTGATCTTGGTGCTGAGGATGTTCTGAAGAAAGGCCAGACCCCTTGATCTTGGAGGTAAACACAACCTCTGACCCAGAAATCAAAAGCTGAAGGAGAAGGTAGAGTAGTTGTGGGTCCAGCTGTTGCCTCAGGCTAACAAAGCAGCACATCTGTGACAGTAGATTCTAGTATAAGTGAACAAAATGGCCATTGCCTCACCTCTGCCATCCACATTACACACACGATTCTCCTGTAGCCCACTCTACCCAGAACCTTCTAGGGAAAGGAATTCTAGGAAATGTAGGTCGGCCTAACCAAGTTGACACATTACTAGGTCATTGTGACCTCTAAGACCCTTCCACCTGGATCTGCTCCCAGCAACTCGAATTTAATGTTTCCCAAACTAAGCTCTTTATCTTCACTTCTAAACATGCTTCTATGTTTCCCTCTTTTTGTAAGTGACACAACTTTCCTTCTATGATCAAAATTTCTAATCCACTAAACTCTTCTTTCCTCATTTTCCTCTCTTGCTTCCACCAATCTGTAACTTAGGCTTATTTTTATTTCTGCAGTGCCCATTCCTGTTGTACGAATTCAAACTCACCAGGTGATTACACAAGCCCACATATTGATTTCATATTTAGCTTGATATAAGCCCCATTCTGGAACCCCAGAAGTACAACAGGGCATTCTCCCTATAAAGACACGGGGAGTGAGTTATGGTGGAGGAGCCAGCATGCTGATACCATTATTTAAACCAAGAAAAACACTGTAGACAAGATGAAAGATCTAATAAAAAGGTGTTCTTATTCCTGATCCTAAAACTTTAACAGCTGGGCTTTCCCATGTGGAATAATGTTACATAAATAACTCAGCCAGGAAACAGAGAGGCTGTGAAGAAGTCCAACAAAATGATAGATGATCTTGGATACTCTGAATATCACACCCAATGGAGTCAACAACAAAAATTTAAAAAGTGGTCTTGGAAGGTACTGGTGAGTTGGTGCTGGATATGACCAGCAGACTTTACAGTACCTGAGTTATGTATTACTAACTCTACAGAAGTATGCTTTGTATTTAAGCATATTAACACTGATCTACCCCACCGGGATTTTTTCTGCAGCATCCAAATTTGTCATTTTTTAACTAGTTGTGGAAATCTAGAGAAATTGGCTCTCAAAAAATAAACTTGTTGAAATTTTAAACCAAAATAACTCCATTCTTATATTTAATTTTTTCTTAAAGGGAACACATATCACTGAAGACATCTTATTTAGTATTTTGTCCACACAATCTAGGTGTAGCTCATGTTACATTTTCTATTCCCACTTCTTCCTTCCACTGAAGTATACATAGTCTGCAGTTACAGCACAAATGCCAGAGCTATGAGAAAATAGAGGAGTGAGGAACAGAACTGCAGTCTAAGAAAGCGAACTCAGCTCTCCTTGTAGAATAAGGAAGTGGTGAGAGGGAGCCACATCTGTGTTAATAGATACAAAACTTTGGGGCAAGTCTCATCTCCCTCAGCTTTGGGTTGGCCCCCACTTACATTTCTCAGCAGTTGCTTAAACGGACAAAGCACTCTTAGAGAATGAAGATTCATTTGTTTTTTTACAGACATTTCCTTGGCCATCCAGTGTGATTGGAATTTCTTCTTTGTGAAATGTACTCAGGAATCCACCTTGCCAGAGTTATGTGAGGGCTTTCAGTCTTTCCGAGAGTTACAGGAGACATCCTGTGATTATAGTAGTGGCTCCTCCAGCAGGAAGCATTCAGGGAGCACGTGGTTGCTGCTTAACCTGATCCTGAAATTACCCTTATCTATGAACATCATCAGCAAGAATCAACTCACCATTGGCTAATACCATGCAAAGGCAAATATCCACATCAACCTGAGAGTAGAGAAAGAGAAAACAATAAAAATAAATAAAACACACTGCGAGGTGTTTTAATTGCTTATCACTTCCCCCAACTCTCAGCCCTCCTGGTTTTACTCACTATGATGCAAGGCAATACACTATTGTAACTGCACTTACCTCTGACCACCCCAGCACAGTATGTCGCTAAGCAAGAGATATTTCTGTTTCCTGTTATTTATTCTTTGTTTTAAGAAACTATTGACCTCTAAGTAACAAGCCTTGTGCTTGAGGGATGGTGATAAAACTCCTTCAGAGTCATGTGGAAGACATATTTCCATGGCACCTTTCGTTTCATACTTAAA